CACAGCGACACTTCAACAATTACATTTGTACTTTTAACGTGTTTATAATATTATTGCGTGCGTACGGGTTCATAATAGATTGTATTCACAAGCCCGATTTTCCACATAAATATTCATACAAATTTTCACAGTATCACACAGTATAATCAGTAGTTATACACTTCACACTACTAAGAACGTTAAACACAACGCAATGCAAAGGTCATCTCAAGAGAAAGCTCACTCGGCTTTATCTCAGTTCACGCGGAGCTACAAGTTGCAACAACGATAACTAAGCAACTGAACTCATATGTTCTCTATCACGCATTTTATACTTTTCAACCGGCCGCCGAGATTTTTCTACAACTTTCTGCTTCTCGAAGTTACTGGAAAGCAATACGAGTGTGGAATTACGGTTACAGCTAACATAGTGGTCAATTACATTTATTCAAGTTACAATATTTATTACGGTGATACAGGGACCGGACCCAAATGTCGACAAATGGTCACCAAATTTGACGACTTTTGGAGATTTCCCCGCCAAATTACCGAGATACCCATTTACTCAATATTAAATGCACTTTCCCCTGTATTCTACTTTTCCGGCACAGCTTTCTCTTAAAATTTGTCTCGCGCTACATTACACAGAAAAATACAATTTTCCTTTTAATTCTACTAAAGTTACCTTCCTGAATACAAAATTTGTAACAATATATTTGAAGCGGAAAGCACGCAAGCAGAACTGAGAAAGTGAGGGAAAACGTGTAAATTTCAATGGATGTTAGTGGACGTCTACTAGTTCTACCTTATTTCTCTAGGCTAGTTAAGATTTTGATTTGCAAAATTTGACCTTATTATTGCCTGAAAGTCTTTTGTGTCATGAAAGGATTAGTTATATAAAGATCATAAGGGATTACTTTTGAAATGACAAAATTTAGAGAAATTTTATTACACGTATAAGCCTGTTACTACCTTTAGGATGTAACAGAGCTAGTTGTTTCGATGGTAAAATTACCGGCGCAAAAAAAAAAAAAAAAAAAAAAAAAAATTAATTAAAACGGTTGAACTGGGCCGGACACAATTTAAATCAGTTCTAATTAACTAAAACCGCATAATTAAAAAGTTTTATTAAAAACGATTGAAAATGAATTCATGAATTCGAGAAAAACGTGCTAAGAAGAATGCATAGTTAAAATTCACGAATAAATTCAAATATGATATCACATAAAATCACAAAAACATGATATTCATTAAAATATATATTAAAACGTAATGGCCCACATTAAATCAAATTAAATGGAATAACGTATGTCTCTAATAGATGATTAAATAGATTAAAATTGATCTCTTTCTCAATTAAGCGATCAAGAAGTAAAGTAAGATGAAGTATTTTAATGTCGAAGACGTTAATATACTTCATACTGTTACGGTTTTTGTATTTAATTTGCTATTTTTGATAGAATTGTTATTAAATTATTCCATTTCCCCGTGCAATCCTGCGCGTGACAAATTTGAAGAGAAAGCTAAGCCGGAAAAATTAAAATACAGGAGCACACGCATCAAACATTTTAATAATAGATATCTCGTAACTAATAGTACGCTTCGGCTTTTCGAGTAAAATCGAGAAAATACCAAACTATGTTCGTGCTGATTAAAAAAAAAGCGGGATCAAAACCTCTCAATTCGAGTTTGTTTAGAAAACTGCTGTTGTTTACTGTAGCGAATTCCCGGTGAAATAGGATTAGCTTTCTCTATTTTGAATTAGCTCTTTTGGTAAGAACATTTTGGTAGTTTAAAAGAAAACTACTGTGAGAGATTGCAATATTGTACGAATATTTAAGGAAATTTAAGCATTTTGTTTTATTTCCTGCGATAATAATAAATTTTATTTACTTTTCATCGGACCTGTGCATCCAATTTACTATTACGAACGCGTACGCACGCAACAATACCTTATTTTATTCTTTTCAGTTAAAAAGGGAGGATAACACTTGCCACTAAAAGAAGAAAAATTATTCCTTTGAACCATCGTAGCAAAGAAGGTGTGATGTCACCTTCTTTTAGTGTATTACAACCTAATAATACAGACGGTGTTTACATATTTTTAGAACGATTTCAAGGCTATTTAATTAATGTTTAAAATGTAAACAGCACTTTTTTTTTAATCTTAGATCCGATAGCCATTTTTCTGAACTATAATTCTGCATCGTGATTTCCGCGATTTCCGGCTTTTCGGCTAATTATCAAGGATAATGAATTCTATTCCTCCTCCACTACTTTCCAGAGTCCATCAATTGTGGTGGAATTGCGCTTGGAAAGGACTTTTTCAAGAAATCAAATCCACAACAATCCATAGATGCAGGAGACTTCGTGAGGATACGTTGAAAAAGTATAATGCTTCTATCAGTCTTCATTTTCTCAAGGCATGCAGTGGTAGTTTCCGAAGTACGGCTTGTTGCTTTGTTTTGATGAAGTTTCACTCTTTGAAAGGCATTGGGATAATGAAATGGAATTTTTTTTTTTCTGCAAACATTTTTGTAAAACTTTTTCTTAATAGTCATTCTTTGGAAGCAGGCAAGATGAAAAATAAGCAATCGCCTTCGCCTGGAATCGAACCACGGACCTCTGGAATACCGGCCCAGTGTGCAGACCACTACACCACGAAGGCACGCTAGGAAGGCGGAAGAAATACCTTATACGTCAGTTGATTTTAACATTTTTTTCACTATTCTTACTTTTAATTTCCGATTGTAAAAGAATTCTGCGGCAATCAAATCCATTGCTGAAACTCTTTTTGCAATGTTGGAACTAAGTATGTACACTTTTTTCTCTTAGTTTTTTAAAATAAATAGATTCCTTTTTATTCACTTCGGTAAACCCATGCTTCATCAAGGATCACAATGTACTTCCATTTATCTCTTGCGAAACAGTTTTCATGCAGAGTCTTACAAAACGTTCTGCGTTGAACCATATGCCTCGGCAAAAGCTGGTGAACTTTACGTTTCGTAGCTCTTTTAAGTCGTAAATCTTGGTTAATTATTTTATTTTTTGTCGCTACTGATGCATTTAAAGGCTTTGCAATTGATTTCTGATTCGGCGGATTTTGTCTTGTTACCAATGTTTTAACTTTAGAAGCATTAGAAATAGTACGTACCTTTCTCGGGCATTCGTTTGAAGTCTTCTTTTTCATGTAGAAGTAATGATGACGGTTTCTTCCTTTTCGATTAGTAATGTCGTTTATTTTCCAGTTAGAAATTTTAATAACATCATTTCACAACTCGTTTGAGTTACGGAATTAAGACCATTTCTCTTCGCAAAGCGCAAAAACATATATTTCAATGCACAGCTTGTTTGTATGCGATACTCTGAAAGAAGAATGAAGTTTAAAGAACTAGACGATATGTCTCATTTCAAATAATAAGCTATTGCCAGAAGCTTCCATTCCAAATCATCTGCTTTTTTTAAATTATTTATCAAAATCGTTCTAAAAATGTGTAAAAACCCTCTGTATTTGCTATCAAAGGTGTTTTTCAGATGCCGCAATGCATAAAAATGTGTACTGATTACTTAAACTTTTATATCTTGAGTTTTAGTTAGGAGTTGTTTCGATTTAACTTAAAGAAATCTGGCACTACTTTATAAGATATTTCTCGCACCTTCTTGGCGTACCTTCGTGGTGTGGTGGTCTGTACACTGGGCCGGTATTCCAGAGGTCCTGGCGAAGGCTTTGTTAATTTTTAATCTTTTCTGCTTCGAGAAAATACCTAATGTCTCTACAACTTGACATAACATATTTTTCATTTTTAACAGACAGATTTTGTCGTTGACTGTAATTTGGAAATCTCTAATTACGAGACATACATTTATTGTATTCACAATTACAGTTCAAATTTCCCTGAAAATTTTTGGAGAACTCAAACAGCAAGGAATCTTAAATGCATTTACGAAAACTGCATGAAATTCTTTAGATTTCATTGTGACCTGAGTTTAACGCAAAACATTTAATATCGCAAGTCCCCATAGCACAGAATATCCTCAGGATGCTATCTTTAAGTGGCAACATGCCAGAACATATTGAGGGTATCCCGAAAATCTTGGTTTTCAAGTGTTCTGAGGACTTTGTGATTTAAAAACCAAGGATAGCATGGTTATGATGCGTCCTGGTATATGTGAAGATGCCGCGAAGATGCTGATTTTAAAATACCTTGAGATCTTCGTTGTTTAAAATTCTGGAAATATTCGTATTGCATTTTCCGAAGATCTTCCATCGTCAAACGCGACTCCAGAAATCTTTTCCTTAGGCAAAAGAGATCAAGATATTCTTTTGCCAACACGATTGCATTTTCCGGAGGTCTTCCATCGTCAAACTCGAGCGATTTAGATCCGAAGTCTTTCGAGGAGATCCTGGAGGTATACGAGATGTGATATTAAACATGCCGGAGGATGTGTTGAAGAGATATTTCGGGATATCCCCAGGTTGTATTAACTATCCTGATGGTATTCCGAACAATGTTGAGGGTACCTAGCTTGAATGTCATGTGTAAATAGTGGGATGTGATATTAGACACTTGAGAGGTTGTATCGAGAAGGTTAAGGAGATATTCCAGAATACTTTAAATATGCAGAGTAATTATATATATATTTTTTTTAAACCAGGAGACGTAAAAATATGCAAGGCCCTCGCCGGAACTCAAACACTGGACCTCTCGAATAGTCGTTGGTTATTAATTTAGAAGTCAAATAACAAAAATCAGCGATATATTTGCAAATATGCAAATATAACGCTGATTTTTGTTGTTCAACTTCTAAATTAATATTTGTTCGGCGTGTTATTTTACCTTAATTATTCGTTGAGTATGCTTCCAGTTACACCCCGAAGGCATGCGAAAAGGAGGAAGAAAATACCTTGTAAAGGTATGAGATGATCCTGTAAGCAACATCTTCAGACTATCTCAAGAAGACATTTGTGAACATGTATATCTGACTATATAATGTAACACGAATGCAAATTACATGCTTACCTACAGTTGTGATGAGGATCAAAGAGAAGAAAACCTGCTCCCCATAAAATTGTTTCCAAGTGATATCCTGTTCAATGTTTTCCCGTTTTCTCACCACGTGTTCCTGATGGAACGATTCGAAAATTTCGGCATCACTGATATTCTTCTCACGCAGACCATCAATCATATCTATCATTTTGAGAAATAAACTAAATATAGTATGAATAAGCGCCCATCTTAATTTAAAAAATAAGCGAAAAAGTAAATAATACACTGCAAATAATTTAAGCGCGAAAATACAATTTAAATTAATAAATTAGACAAAAGTGGCAGAAACAATTCGAAAACTTACCTGTCTCTAATGATCTCTGAAGCCAAGTGTTGCAATTAACCATCATAAAGAAAATTCCTGGGACTTAATATGTATGCTAATTTATCATGTAACCTTATTTTGCTGTTTAAAATATTTGGTCAGTCCATAAATTCATGCGCATTTTTGGTAAATTTTTAAATATTATAAAAATACACAATTTAGCATTTTAATCGATTATATATTTTCCTCCATTATCTACAATGTCTCACCATCTTACATGCAGCTTTTTATGCCATTGCTGTAGAAAGACTCTGGTTTTCATGCAAAAAAACTTGAGAGTTCATTGTGTATATCCTGTTTAGAATTTTTTCCCAGTAAAAAATTTTGTAAGGCACGAAATAAGTGAAAATCACTCGGGGCAATATCTGGGGAGTAAGCAGGATGTGGCAAAAGCTCCCTAATAAATTGACTAATTTTTTGCAGCGTTGTTGGAGCCGTATGCGGTCTGGCGTTATCATGATGAGACAACATTTTCTTGATTTTCACCCATCGTTGGAGTTTTTTGATCAATTCTGAGTTTAGACGGCAAAGTTTTCACTATAAACTTCTAAATGAATCGTTTGATTTGGTTCTAACAGTTCAAAACGTCCTGAACGGTGTTCATCATCCGTTTTTTCCAATTTAAAATTTTTTAAACCATTTCTGGGCAGTCCTTACACTAATAGTGTATTCACCATGTACACTATTAATTTTTATCGCTGCAAACCTGTCAGATTCACTACACGAAAATAAAAAATGTAGCACAGCACGTTTGTACTGATGATCTACATTCATTTTCTATGGGTACTCAAATGCGTTCGATATTTACGAAAGTTGGTGATGAATTGAATAATATGTTAGTCAAAAGATGACAAGTTTCAACACGTTCAAATTGTATTGTTTTAGTAAATGCGTCATAGTCAATTCCACGCATACACTTAATGCGCACGAACTTACGGACTGGTCTAATATAACGTTATATTATCAGTTATTTAATATGTTGTTCGCATAAATGCTTACTTTTAAGGGAAACGCTCTTTTCATAACTTTTAATTTTTAGTAGATTTTTGTCAAATTAATTCCTAATGCAGTAAAATCAGTAGCTGATGTTTGTTTTGGTTTTTCTTTCGATAACAAAAATCCGTTCACCAAGGAATTTGTAGAACATCTACTATTTCATTTTCATTCATCAACTTTTATGAAATATGCCTTCAGTTGCAGCTGTTGAATGAGGGAGACGTAACGGAGATTTAATTAATTCTGTTAAATTAGGAAATCCTGATTTTCGTATGACTATTTTCATTTCGAAAACTTGGCTCAAAAAATAAATCATGGATCCTTTGTGAGGTTTATTTTAATTAGCAAGTTTAAGTTTATATTAAATTATGTCCCATACTCCTTTCGTTCCGTCACTGTAGAGACATTACCTGTCTTCAGAACACGAAATACAAAAATACGCCGCCCACGTTTAGCAGGATGTGCTACCACTTACCTACGAAAGCACATACGCAGAAATGGGACACTGTCGTATATTTCCCTTCACTTAAAGGGCGACTAAAAAGAGAAAAGATGCCCACGTGACCAAATAGGTGGCAATAAAGTACCGTTTACCACATTTTATTTGGAGCAACACCAAATAAATACTTCGAATTTTTGAATCAAAAAGGGTGAAGAAATCAACTCGGTCCTCAGATACGAAAATGGAGCTTTCGGTTTGTCAGCTGCAGGTGCTAATCACTTACATCACGAATGCACGCATGGGAGAATACGATAGTTCTTCATATATTAATCATTACTTGCCGTTTTCTACCAAGTTTTTTATAATAAGTTACTTAAGTTATCATAACATTATAAATTAGCTTTTTAAATAATTTTAAAGTATGCTGATTTGCATATTTCAGGTTTCAGCGTTACTAGACTATTTACTCATTCCCGGATGTAGCTATAGAACTCAATGCAGAAGGACTTTAAAGTGGATTTATTTCTTGTCCTGACATTCCATATGTAAAAGACGTCCATAAATGGCTGGATGTATCTTTTCAACCGGTGAATTTGTAAAGTACTGAAATTTCTTAAATTATTTCATAATAATTTTCCTCCTGTTGATGAAATCAGTAGATGAAGGAGCTATTCATGGCCTTGTTAAAGTAAAATTAGATTTATATCTGTTGATAGTAGAAATGGTAAGAAAAGAAAACATGACTCAGTTGAAGAATTTTGTGATTCTTCAACTGAGTTACCAATAGTTAAAACTATTTTGTCTTCTTGAATGCCACGTTGAGCTTCTCGACCGATGCACCGCGAAAACTTTCATCACAAATTAATGGTTATTGGGACACTCTGGTAATTACTTTAATTGGTACTATTCGGTTTTGAGGACCGTAAAAAATCGCCAAACTATTGTTGATGCCAGTGCTGCCAAAAATAATTGCGGCAACCCTAACGCAAGAAAGGAAGTGTAATAGTAAATAACTATTTAAGATTTATGTTTTAATTTAGATGAAAACTTACTTTCATATAGTACATTTTTATTATTATAATTTATTCAAAAAGCTAAACATGACTGCATGGAAGCATAAAGTAAATAACTGTTTCAGATTATTATTTAATTTAGATAAAAGGTTAATTTCACATCATACATTTTTTATTATTTTTATTTATATCAAAAAGGCTAAAAAACTGAATAGAAACATAATAGTAATACCTATTTCAGATTTTTATTTTAATTTTAGATGAGACGTTATTTCATATAATACAATTTTGTATTACTTATAAAAAAAAAAGGCTAAATTACTTGCAATTAAACGTGGCATAAAATTTTTTATGTCTTCCAACATAGCAGAAAAAATTTCAGTTTTTTTGTGCAAACGTCTGCACATAAACTCGGACAAGTAAGAATCAAAATGCTGTCGAGCAGTCAGTGACGTGCTAGGATTCCAGCGCCCGGGGACAACTGAAGAATTTGCGACCCTTTTTCTGTGTGCCAAGAATGAAAACTTTCATTAAAAAAATTTCGTAGCATCAATTGGCGCCCCCCCTGGATGCTGCGCCCGGGAACAGTGTCCCCCTTGCCCCACCCCTATCTACGCCACTGCGAGAAGTGCCCCGATGGCGTTTTATTACGCCATTAGCATTGCCCCACAGCCGTCTACTGTTGTGTATGACCCCACTTTCCGGGTCCACAAAATTGTAGTTGTGGTTGACAGTAAAGTTTTCAAAACCGGCATCTTGCAGTTCATCTGACTTGTATGATTTCCAGCAGTCAGTATAAATAACGCTTCCTCCTTCTGCGATATTATTCTTTATGATGCTCAATAAGGTTTTTCGCGCCGATCGATCTGGAACAGCGACTAAGAAACATTCATTTGATTCTCTGCATAATCGCGCCAAAAACCATTGTGGCGGAAGAACACCTCACGCATGTAACTGTTCCAGTCTACAACTGTACTGTGGTTCATCTTGAGCTGAGTTCACAAAATTCAACGATTCATTTCCTGACACCAAAATGATGAACCTAACGGCTGTAAAAGGGAATTTTTCGATCCTTCAAACCAATTTTGAATTCCAATCCTTCTTCTCATTACAGTTTTTTTCCTTTCCTGCCCGCCATTTTGCTACCGGAGTTATCGATAAAGCATAATTTTATATCATGTTGTTCAAACATAATTTTCTATCATGAATGATGCCTTTTTTTTTTTTTTTTTTTTTTTTTTTGAAAAATTCTATTGCAGACTTTTCTTCATTCGGCAATTCCCAAATTGTAAAATCCATCGCATCATCAAAAAGAGAATTAAAAATTAACAGATTCAAGGCGACTTACAATATATAGATTCTCTAACACTTCGCCATTTTGAAATCAGCGCGTTCGCAAGATTTGGCGTGCTGTTTAATGGGCGAGTTTGCTAGATTTAGCGCTTTTGCACATGCATTTTCGCTGCAATTTTTTACGGTCTCCGAAACCGAATTGTACCCTTTAATTTTTTAAGTTAATTGCCAGAATTACAAACAATCAAATGCTATGCTGCATGTATGCGCTTAACCTTTAAGATTGTTTGGTAAAATCCTAGTGTTCGGTACGGGTTTGGCGCGAGTTTTAAAATTATCGTCCACACAAAAATGAAGCGTATGACCCATCCGATATATCACCAGTCGCCAAAAGTTGTCAAATCCCATGTACCGTATACTAGGATCAGACCGAAAGTTATTAACATGGAATTAACCGAAGTTTAAATGACTTACTTTTAGCTGACTCTAAATCTTCTATGATATGTTTTCTGACTAAAATCTCATTTCCCTTCTCAAGAAGCACAAATAATGCAGCACCAGCAAGTAAATAGATTAGATATATTGAAAACATCGCATAGACTTCTCTTCTCCAGCCTGTAAAACAAGATGAATTTTTTTCAAAACTTAACAAATTCAGAGCATAATACAACAATTTTTTTTTTTTTTTTTTTTTTTATTATTTCAGGAAAATATTTCGTACCGATTAGAAATAGCTTAAACATCTTAACATAATCTTCTATAGTTATTTTAGAAAAAATTAAGAATGCTGAATTCAGAAAAACGGAAAATGATTTTTAAAGGCAAATTAATATCAAATTCAGTAAATTCAGTATGTGTATTTTAATTTCCGTAATTTTAGAGCAGTAAAATAATTGCCAGATTCATCATGCACAGTTTATGGTAGTGTATAATATTTCACTTTTAAAACTCTGATTGTCTTTTTATTATAAACATTATTGCACGTGAATTTATTAAATGTTATTGCTTAAAGTTCTTATGGAATCATAAATGCAAAATATCATACGCTCGATTTCATTGACTTTTTGTTATGTAAATAAAAAGCGCCCATTCAAATAGCGTTTTCTTTATTTTTTCCACGCATATCAAATCATCCTTTTTCAGACAAGATGTTTCCTAATTATATTTGAATAGAGTAAGTTGCATTTTCAAGTAGAACGTCATTTTAAGGGGACTCATACACCTTAAAACCCATAAGATGTTCAAATAGGTGACTGTTGCAAGAATTGGGATAACTTATTTATTTAAAAGCATTACTACCAACTTTTTCAGCTGACAAACTAATATAGCAGCTTTCTGAAATGTAATCAGAAGTTGTGTTGCCAACAAATATTTTTATAATTTAATCCGCTTTGTGACAACATTTTTCGTCCTTTTCCAACTTGCGCGCACGTTTAAAACATTCTGTTTTCTAATTTAATTCCATATTTAATATAGCTTTATTAACATTTGGAAACTACTGTGAACCTAAAATTCTAAAAATTCCATGTTAATTTTTATTTTATTTTGAGTTGAGTTTATAAATGCATTTTATTAAAAATTTTTAATGTTTTCGTCCATAAAATTTTCCAATATTAAAATATTCATCAGATTGATGGTTCAGTTAGAAAATAGTGCCCATATAAAGAATTCCATCTAATTTCAAGTATGTACCATTAGCAAAATATCATGCGCGCAAGGTGGAAACATGGCGAAATATTTTACCACAAAGAGGATTAAATTACAAAAATATTTGTGGCAACACAAACTTTTCCTGCAAGCAAAAATACTGTACACTGTACTACTAGTTTCCAAAGCAGCTATATTTTGTAGTCAGCTGTAAAAAGTTGGAAGTGATTGCTTTTAAAATAAATAAAATATCCCAATTCTTGCAACAGTCACACATTCGAAGATCATGAGGGGTTTAAGGTGTATGAGTCCCCTTAAGTAAGTAAGTAGCAGCATGGTTTAAAAGTGTCTTGTAGCAGCAGAGCTATGCGGAAAAGAGCAGAGTATCATAGAACTTCAGAGGAAGAAGGGTGGGATTTGGAAAGTTTCAGTTCAGAGTTTTGGTTTACAATTAATTAGATTGGAAAAAGAGGCATCTGCATTAAAACGTTACGTAAGATAGAAAAATCTGGAACCTGTGAGAAGAGATGAATTTAGGGGCAGAATATCAAATTTAGAATGTGAATTTTGAGGTTGCCAATTATTTTTTTGAAACAGCTATCATATTTTGTTGTATCTTACATATTTCCCCCCTTCAAAAGGGGTGAGCACGGTGGCAGAAAAAGCATTAGAGCAGCAAAAATGCGAAAGATATAATTGTGAAAATACAAAACATATCAACAAACCTATATAATCCCGAATGTGGCAGAATATTGGACTACTCCAGTCCCATTCTTATTTTCAAGTCTCCTCCCTTTAGAACTAATTAAAGGAATCTCGGGTTAATTCATATGCGTTTAATGGCTATTGATTTTGATGTAGTTTATTAAATGACATTAGATCTTAAATTAAATGACACAGACTTTAAGGATGTTTTTCCAGATGCCGAGTAAGTTCTCGTTCGTCCTGTACTGTGTTTTTGCTTGCACGAAATTCGCAATGAAAGAACAAATTTTTTGTCTCACTGGAAAAGAGAAGTTCCTGCACTTTTTACCTTCTCCCCTTCAAAGTTCTATACCGGACAAAAGCACTCCGCACCAATCACAGCAACATCACCGCGAAATCTAAATCCTTTTCCCCTGTGTGGGGGAGGAGCAAGGGGAAGAAGAAAACTTTTTTTTCTTCCTCACCGGCGCGTCTCTCCTTCCAGCAATGGTAAAGCCCTCTTTGTTCAGTTAGGCGGCATTGAACAGGTTTGCGCTTTCGTAAGTTTTTTCCCTAAAGTTCAAACAAATCGAGATATTTGCGATTTATCTATGGGTTGACAGAAAATACACTAAACTCCGTCGACATGAAACATCACGTTGTGTTTTGGATATCTGTTTACGGTAAGTGATTTGTTCTATCGTTTGATACTGCCTATGTCAATACTGCATGGACCCTTTTATCTTTTGTTTAGTTACGTAGCTCGCAGTCTTCATTTTTTTTTTTATGCTTAGAATATAAAAATGTTTATTAATTTACTTACGATTCGAGCTAATGAATGAAAGATCATGTGATACAATGACTATCCCCCTTTTCTAATCATATGCTTCATTTAAATGTAATAATCAAATCCAGCTCTCCCACCACTAGGTATTGAATGCGTTTTTTATGCCGATGATATAAAAGCTGGAATATTTTATTTTGTTTACACAAATCGCATTTTATATTAAATTATTGTAATTTTCAAAAGCCTTTTGGGGGGATTTTAAATTTTCTAATGAGTCGTCAGAAAAATTAATTACAATTTATGTACGAAGAAATTGTAAATATGCCTATGTAAATATTTATTTGTGGAAGTTTTAATAAATATAAATCTTATAAATGTGTTTCTTGAGAAAAAAGCCCTCTGATTTTGTTCCCGTAATGGACCATTAATTTTTGAATTGTAAAATACGCGTAATGTATCATTTTATTTAAAATATAGGAAGGGAAGATTTATATTGTAATTGACAGCAAATAAATTTATTGTGCTTTCCTAAATGTCTTTACATAAGAGCAAATTGTTTGATAAATTACATTGTCAAGAAGATTATACTTACAGTGTCTCAAAAAAGTGATGGGACACTTGTGCTTTACAAAAGGCACTGCAATAAAATAAATTTAAAAACATGTAAACTTTTTGTGGGTGTGTTTCATACTTAAATTTTAAGTAACAATTGTTACATAACATACATTTTCTCAAAATATTAAAATTATTTAATCAAATCAAATTGTTTGAACGAGCAAAAATGGCTCACTTAATGGGACACTTACTTTTTCCATCAAATATTTATCCAAAAATTTTACTTTTTAAAGATTTTTAATATTTGTTTGGATATCTTTACTTTAAAACATGATTTAATCTTCTGGGATGGATCGACTAATTTTTTGTGATTTCTGGAGTGATTTTACCCCCTTCTTCTTGAAGCACCGATTTTAATTGTTGTTTTGAAGAAGGTGTTGGTTGCGAATTCTTGATTCCATTCTTGCCAATATTCCCTATGGGATTTAATTGTGGAGATTTGGGTTTTTTTATTTCAGGAGCATTATACAGCAGCCAAGTCTGACGTTCAAGCACTGTCTTGGGGTCATTGTCCTGTAGAATTTAAAATCGTTATGAAGGTTCAATTTTTCGTGCTGAAGATTTCAAATTTTATTTAAATGTCAATATAACTTGTTACTATCCATTACTGTCAATAAAAACAAATTACCAACTCCAGCGGACGACATACACCCCCATACCATAACTCCTCCTCCACCATGTTTACTGTTTGGCACCAGTTCTGTTTTCGAAATTCTTCCCTGGGTTTTCTCCACACCAAGATTCTACCGTCGAACCAAATTTTAATTTACTCTCATCAGCAAATAATATTCAGTATCAAATTCTTATTTATGTGGATTGCGAAAGCCATCTGATTTTTCTATCTTTCACTTACGAAGAAGTTTTTTCCCGCTGCTCTAACGTGATCCAGTAATCGAATGCTCTCTAATAGTCTCAGAATTAACAATTACCCATATAATGCTTTTAAATCAGCACCTTTAGGAGCACTCTTCTTGGATTTTTTTAATATTTCGAACGATAATCGCTTTAATTCCATTGGAAAGCTGATGGTCGGCCAGGTCTTCTTTTAATCCTGAATCATATGATTCTGTTTATCTTTTAATGATATGAAACTGTTAATGACTGAATTTAATTTCGTAGTTTCTCTATTAGTTTTCCACGTTCAAATGCAAATTAATAACTAATTTTCGAATTCCAGGCAAAGTTTCTTTCTTTAGCATTCATGGCTGCACAAGCTAAAAACACAAAATTCCAAAACAAACCGAAAATACCGACGATTTTATAAATATTGGCAATTGCTTTGAGTAAAAACAAATACCCCAAAGATATTTTTATTGCTCACTTCAGACGATTTTTTTCTAGTACGTAGTTGTTCCATCACTTAAGTGAGCCTTTTCTCTCCGTTCTAACGTTTTTTTTTATTAAATTAATATTTTAATATTGAAATGTATTATGTAAAAATGTTACTAAATTTAAGTATGACACCCCACAAAAAAGTTTACATGTTTTTTAAATTTATTTTATTGCAGTTTCCTTTTGTAAAGCACAAGTGTCCCATCACTTTTTTGAGACACTGTACCTGTATATTAATTAATACAGAAACTGTTTGCATATTTTTTAGACGATTTTGCTTTGCGAAAAAAAAAATCGCCTGACTGGAATTTTTTTTTTTTTTTTCAACTTGAACTATATATTGAAAGTGTATAGTCTGCTATTTTAGAATTTTGTTTTCACGCAAAATGGTGCTTTTGAAGCAGCAGCCTGCGGAAGGCTATGTTTGTACTCTTTCCGAAAAAAATTATTCCTATCTAATTAGTAAAAAATCTGATGTGTACACCACATGACTTCCTTGTACGGAATATTAAATTATACGCATTTTTTCTTGCATTTCATTTAAACGTATGGATTGCCTTAATGACTTTCGTTATCGCAAACCCAGTAATAATGCATCTTTAAAATTCACTATTTTGTTTTTTCCATAGCTAACTCTGGCGCTATGTTCATTAACATCGTATATTCGTTCATATTCAGGATGTAAAATTTAGAACTATCCTCAGAAGCCAAATTAGAATTATACTCAGAATGCACAAAATTATATCATTTGAAGAATATCTAATCGTGCACATGTTTATTCAATACTATAATGATTTTAGAACGGGTATACCAGAAATTAAGCAACAAAAAAACGGAAAGTTTTTTCACATAAGATTCAATATTTCTCTTTACTAATTTTGTTCACACTTCGCGACAAAGCAAAATACGTAAAAATCAATATCTATATTAAAATTTTTGAAGTAATCTTAAACTTATTTCCTCGAAAATTTCAGAAAGATTAAGCATAATTTAAAATAATAATGAAGGCGTTATCTTTGTTGTTGCGAAGCTTAGTCTCGCTAGATTGGCAACAAATCACTTTCCGCTTTCAAATTAAACAAATAAATACCTAAAAAACATGTTTTTAAAAATTTAATCGCACTTAATGTTGACAATTCCTACAAATATTGCTTGACGATTTATTAAAGGTATAAAACCTTACCGGAAATAAGAACAACATATTCAAACATTTTAAAGGAAAAATGCACAATTTACAAAATAAGAGTAAAGAAACTGAGATACTGACCTGGTAACAGAATGATATATATATAATATATTTATATACGTTTGGTGCGGCCGATTGCAACAAATACGAGGTCACATCTACATGTTATAGCAGTCCTATATACAAAATTTCAACGTTCTGAGGCTACTCGTTTTTGAGTTAGGCGAGATTCATACGTACGTACGTACAAACACCACAAAACATTCTTTTAAGAATTCATTGTAAAGCAGTTTTATAATTTTTTTGGAGGAAAGAGTCTTTTATTCTGTCCTTACGTACAGATGTTACGCAAAAACATCGTTAAATTACATTCGATACCTGTCAAAATGGATATTTTCGTTGAAATATGGTGCCTGAAACTTTTCGCGATTACAGTACTTCCTTTTTACTTCGTACAAGGAAGTAAAAACATAGTTAAAGCCATGATTTTTCGGTATCTAAAGCAACGATATATAATATTTTCAGTAAGAAAGGAAAAATACGTCAAAGTATGGCTTCAAGGAGAAAAGTTGTTCAAAAAACGTATCCAAAGAAAAAAAAACAGAATGTTTCGAATGTTGCAAAGTTAAGATGTTAAAAAAAAAAAAAAAATCTTCGAAGAGCAGTTGCATAATCAATAAAATACTCAGTGTCAACTGTAATCAAAGTGATTATTGCTGATTTGAATCTTAGAAAGTTAAAGAAACGTAATGATGTGCCTCGTCTTTCTCCACGACATGTTGCCGAAAGCAGAACGCGCTGCAGAATTCTCTATGAGAAATACTTACTCGGACAAAAATGCAAAACTGTTGTCTCAGTAGAGGAATCTTGGGTATATTTAAATGACCGCAATAAAAAGAGATCCATTTGTTATCATTAAAAAGAAGAAAAAAAATCTTAGAACATGGTTCAAAGATTCTAAAGAAAGTTTTCCAAAGGGATTTATGATTGCTGTTGGTTTCTGATATATTAACAAAAATTATGGCTCTACTCTTATATGCACCCTAAGGTTGCCAGATGCGGCGATTGCGCTGGTTTTTGGCGCGATTGCGTGTTCTGTTCTACGATAGTTTTGGTGGCGATGTTGGTTTCTGTGGCAACCTTTTTTACATGGAAACTTGGATTCGTTAGTTGGTTCGTGTGGTAATTAAGTGATTTATGACGTGTTGGCAAGATTTTAGTTGCGTGCTTGGTACAACTATTTTCTGGGTCGTTGGAAATTTTACTAGTATTTAGAAGAAGAAGGTTTTGAACGTTTATTTGCGAAACATAGTATCAATAGTGATTCTGGCTGTCATATAAATACGATAGAGATTACGTGGCGGCGTGTTAAAGCGACGTTGCCGATTTATAATCGGAAATGCGATTTGGAGATTTATTTGGTGGTTTATATTTTTTGCCATCGTTGTTCTGAAACGGGAGAAGATGCTTTTAACAAATTTGTGGTGAAATTGTTTTGCTGACGTTTGAAATTGGTATTTCTGCTGTTTGAAGAAGCATTGATTTATGGTAAGTGCATTTTGTTTTATTCTTGTTCTTATTTAGTAGAATGTTATGTTCATTGTTTTTTTAGTATGAATGACTGTCGTTATTGTTGTTTTTTGAATTGTTTGAAATTTCTTTTAGTTTATTTTGTTGATTAGTGCGCAAGCCTAGATTGTGCAATTCGCAGTTTTTTAAAGTTTAAACAGAATGCTGTGTACATGGTATTCTTTGAAATTTAC